GAGCGTCGAAATCCGTGAAAACATTTCCCAGAATACTCATATGATTTCCGAAGTTATCTAAAACACTCTGTAGGGTTTCCAAACCTTTGGAAAACGTTTGAGTTTCCGGAAAAAAGCTCGGAAATCCATTAATCTTATGAAAAATCCAAATATCAGTCGAATATCTTCTTTTTGACCTTCATGTTTCCACCGTACAATTTCGAGGTTTAACAGTTGCTCGATACGAATGACATGAGTTTTATTCAAGTGATGCGAAATTGTTTTGAAAAAGTATTGGAACTCTCATAATACAAAAAGAAGCGTTTTGTTCTCGAGGAAATCTTGATTTGTTTTTATATCTTTCCTTATCTAAAAATTTGAATGTAGTATGACAAGCCTTACTGTGAAAATCGCAGAGCAGCAAAGAAATACTAGGTTACTCAAAGAGACATCAAGACTGTATTAAGAGACTCGAAGATTGTGGCTGCCTTTGAGACTCTGACTGACTTTAAGACTTTGACTCACATCAAAGCTCTGTATTAAAAGACTTGAAGACCATAACTCACTTTGACCTACTGACTCAGTTTCGATGTCAAAAGTCAGACGCCAGATCACAGAAAATCCTATTAAACCTTGTACATACAAGAATTTTTCTAAGCTCTACACATAAAATCAGTGCAAGTATATATGCATTACTTATCTCCAATATTTCATCACATTCTAACTGTAACTATTCAGCAAAACTCTTGTAACGTGCAAAGCTTAAGAAACTTATAACAACCGACTGAATTACTCAGGTCGGATATTATCAGACCAAATAAGTTTCATAAACAAAACAACATACAGTAGACCCTAGCGCAGATTCTGTCTACTATTTTCTTATCGTGCTTGATCTCACCTGCGGCATTTCTAATTCGGCAATTCCACCTCAATCTATTCCTATCTTGAATAAATATATATGAAAAAAAATCTCTACGATTACACTAATACTGGTGACATTTGCATTAGTAAAATGGTTCTTACCTTCACGAGTAAATGTTTTGCAACGTAGCTTCTCAAAGCAAGAATGTACGTCCAAACTTTAAACAGAACTGAGAAATTTTCCTCTAACATGAATTACTTGTCGAAGAATGCATGTTACAGTACATAGTCACCTTCAGAAATCTAAGTCTTCTTTTCGATATCTCAATTGATATAGATTCATATATACCAATATCATTATTCTTATATCTGTTATATACAAATCGAAGTCTTGTTTTGAATATCTCAGTCGATATAGATAGGATATGGATATATCATTATTTCTATACCTCTGATACAGAAATCTAAGCCTTTTTTCAATGCCTTGGTCGATATAGATCGAGATATAGATATACATTATTTCTGTCTCTCTGATATAGAAATCTAAGTTTTGATCTGTACATCTCACTCGATATCCACTGAGATATAACAATATCATCATTTCTATATCCATGATATACAAATCTAAGTTTTCTTTTCAATATCTCTATCGATATAGATGAAGCTATAGATATATCATTATTTCTATATCTATGATATGGACACCTAAGTTTTCTTTTCAAGACTCCAGTTAACATAGATCGAGATATAACGATATCGTTATTCCTATATCTATGATATTGAAATCTAAGGTTCGTTTTCAACATCTCAATTGATGTCGATCGAGATGTAGATATATCAATATTTCTATATCTATGACATAGAAATCCAAGTTTTGTTTTGAGTATCTCAATTGATACGGATTGAGATATAACAATATCATCATTTCTATATCCATGATATACAAATCTAAGTTTTGTTTTTGAATATCTCAGTCGATATAGATTGAGACATAGATATATCATTATTTCTATATCTATGATATAAAAATCTAAGGTTTGTTTTCAATATCTCGACCAACATAGATCGAGATATAACAATATCATTATTTCTATATCCATGATATAGAAATCCAAAGTTTATTTTTAATATCTCAATTGATATCAATCGAAATATAACGATATCATTATTTCTATATCTATGACATAGAAATCTAAGTTTTGTTTTGAATATCTCAATCGATATAGATTGAGATCTATATATATCAGTATTTCTATATCTATGATATAGAAATCTAAGTTTTGTTCTCAATATCTCAATTGATATGGATTGAGATATATATTTATTTATTTATTTCTATATCTATGATATTGAAATGTAAGTCTTGTTTTGAATATCTAAATTGATATAAATTGAGATATAACAATAGGCTTATTTTGTATATCTATGATATAGACGTCCAAGTCTTGTTTTGTATATCTCAGTCGATATAGATTGGAATATATTAATAGATATATCAATTGATATAGATTGAGATATATGTATATCAGTACTTCTAGAATTGGTCGAGCGGAAATCTTTGATAGTATGCAAAGTATCGGAAACCTGTCCAAGGTTTCCGAGGTCTGTGCCTTTATGTAGTAATCAAAACGGTTTCCGATAGGTTTGCGACAGCTCGGAAACCCTTTTTCGGAAACCTATAAAGTATCTCATATAGGGACAAACTTAGAAACCCTCTATCGGTTTCCGAGAGTACTTATTTTTTTTAGAGTGTAGGTAACGATCATCTCCTCAACATAGGTCCTTGGTAATACTCTCTAAAAAAAATTGGTGTCATAGTGAACCTTTTACGGTTTTAGACAAGCCTTAAACCTTTTAAGGTTCTAAATTTGGGTACCATTTTAAGAACTTTTTTTATAGTTCTAGCCGAAAAATTTAGCACTTAAAAAAGTTCTAGATTTTCTGGCTAGAACTTCAAACAGTTCAGCGCCTTCGGCTAGAACTAAAAAAGGTTCTTAAAATGGTACCCAAATCTAGAACCCTAAAAGGTTCAGTCGGCCAACTGTTTTTTTTACAGAGTATAGATAGTACTCCTAGTCCTGCTTTCCATAGGTTTTGCTCATCTGCTCGATGATGATCCTCAATAATATAGGTAATTTCCATAATGACGGTTCTCATAAATACCTAGATCGACTTTTACAGCAGCTAAAATCAACCATATCTAGGCCGTATAGTCATGGACTATATCATTACCGTGCTTCGCCGTGCACTATACAGTCGTGTACATTACCATAGCACACCAACCAGGTACCAATCTGTTTTTGGAACGGCTCTTCTTTCTTTTTGTATGAACAAGTGCTCTTCATGTTCGGGTCGATTTTAGGGTTCGCGGGAATGCTCTATCGAATGACCAGTCTATGTGTGGGTCTCTTCACCTTGCTTATAAATGATGCAATAGAATATCAAGCAGAGACAAGGAATAACTTTGGAAGGTATTTACATCGCGCCTGTCTATAATTCTAGAAAGAGGGCATTAAGTTACCAATATATATATATATGAGTGTGACGCGAAACAAAACGGTGAGTGATTAGTGACGTTGTGTAGAACTCGATTGGATCATTTTTGACCAATCAGATTTCAGTGGGGCTTTTCTCCCTTATTCTAAGGACTAGTACTAGTCATGTTCGGACCGATCCTAGGATTATCGGGGGTGCTCTATCGAATGGTGGGTATATATGTGGGCCTCCGGCTTCGGGTTGAGCAACGAACAGAATTCGATGATTCGATCGGTCAAAGGAAGTTGAAGGATGAAATTGTAGGAGTCGTGTTCTTCCTCATTTCGAAACCATGTTGATGTTACGTTTTAGTCATTTCTGGAGTCTCGGAGATGCCCTTCTAAACGGTCTACGCATCGGAGTGCTCGGGTTTTCTTATAGTTTTGAAGTGCTGTCTATCCATCTGATTTGTGAGTGTAGATGGATCGATAATCTGGTACAGCATTCTCACTTAGTTAATGGTCGAAAAGAATGACTGTTTCGTTAGCTTGTTTTTGGATAGGTATATTATCAGTTAAACGGTTGTTGACAATCGGTGGATACGTTATTCGGTAACATCTGACGTATACGGTACATTACAATGGTCTATGGTATGCTTGTTTACGGTTCCTGTGTTGCTACCATAGTCGTTAACAATCATTATTCATAGTCATTGTTTCAGATCGTTGTAATGCGACGTAACCTGTCATTAACTATTGGCAGAAGGAAATACCGTAAACTTCTGATGAATACATCGTCTTACGTTGGCTCACAAGGAGTGTATACGGGTGCCGTTTCGTTACATCACCCGTTTACGACCGAATTTTACGAGTGTCATGTACACTGACTGTAATATTTTGGGTGTGGGGTGTGGGTGTGGGTGTGGGTGTGGGTGTGGGTGTGGGTGTGGGTGTGGGTGGGTGTGGGTGTGGGTGTGGGTGTGGGTGTGGGTGTGGGTGTGGGTGTGGGTGTGAGTATTCATTTTCTGTATACTCACACCCACACCCACCACCCACGCCCACCACCTATACCCACACCCACCGCTCACACCCACAACGCACACCCACAACCAGCACCCATGCCCACCACCTATACTCACACTCACACCCACACCAACACTCATACCGACACCCACACCCTAGTCCAATCGAATCCTTCTATTCACATGCACTGACTATCTTGATAATAACTATGAATATGATAGTTTATCAGTTCGCGAGTTCGATGGTTCACAGCTCCATCTACTGTTCTACGGTTTATGACCAGCTTCCAACTCAAACGGTCAGATGCCGAATGAAAACATAATTATTCAAGAAATGTTTCAATATCCTCTAAAGAGTGTAGGTATGAGTCTTTCGCTGACACTCACACCCACGAATAAGATATGCTTACTCTAACACAAAACAAGTAAAAGCCAGATCGAACATCAAATGTTTTACTTGCAAATTAGCATTTTGTGTCCAAGATCAAAAAATTGTTTTTTGTTTTATTATCGTAAGATTTTTATGTAAAAATTTTGAAGCAAATAACATAAAGTGATTGAAGAAACTACGTTTCAGTTGAAAAAGAATTCCACCCTCAAAAGATTAATATCTCCAGCAATGAACAATACTCTGGATGAAGATGATTGAATTCTAGAGAGTAGATCATAAAGAATCGGTTGTTGTGTCCTTCATTTGATTGAGGTAAGACCAAATATTAGTATCTATCACAAAATATTTCTCTTCACTTGGTGTGATTAGTTCATTACGATAATGCTGTAGCCTTGCATGAGTTTCAACATCGGCGTAAAATACAGGAGAATTTTTGACCGATCTTGTAACTTGATGTACAGAAAAGTAATGGACCAGATGTGGCCGAACAAAGTTTTTTGAGCTGGCATCTCGTGAATAATGTTGACGGTCACGATGCACATAGTTTCCTAATGAACATTATAGTATATGGTCTCTATCATGCTAATAAACGTGTAAAGAAATCATTGTCTGCGATATAACTGTACAGACCTAAATTTGTATAGATGCTGAGTATTGCTGAGAGAGTATATGTTCACGCCTTCAATGGGTGATGAAGGATCAAGTGAAATGAGCTTGGACATGAAAAGATATTTCATATTAACAGTCTTAAAACGACGCTATGTTTTCGAGAAAGGTTATCGGATCTTTGGCAATTCATTTTTTAATTATCTATCTATAGACGATTTGTTATAAACCTGCTGGAAGAAAAATAAACAGCTTTGTTAACTATAACAAAGATTCTTCATCGTGATAACAGAATGGATAAGGAAAATGAGTAATAAATCTCAAGCAACGAAATTAAACAATCTAATCATTTTGACATATTCTAAGGATGACACACAAAGCTTATGAAATGAACTTATCATTCTTGTGCTCCATACAGATCGAATTAGTTTTAACTGACACTTGCTGATGTTTTGTACTGTGAACTATGTCTACACATTCTGATTGACGTAGGAGTACTGTTAATAGCTACTTTGACATACTTTCGCGTTTCAATATGTTGTTTCTCATTCAGCGGTAAGATGTGAGAATAAACAAGAGCACTAGACTAAATGGCTATTTAATAGAAGATAAGAAATATTAATCACGATGGGCACGTGTGACATTATGCTATTTTTTCATGCTCATGCTTTCATAAGTCATAGAATGTTATCGAAGGCAGTTAAAATTAAATGAACTCGAATCATTTAAAATAATTCGTTTGTTCATGACTTATGATATAATACATTTATTTAATTTGAAAATGTTCGATAATTAGAAAAAAAGCATATTCTCATATTTTAGTTAATTTGAAGTAAAAATGGCATGACAATACACGGAAGAGTCAACCTAGAAAGAGCATTGATCATGCTGAAAAATGACACAACAGTGAACAATTACTATTCTCTTATGTAGATTTCTTTTTCTTCGTATTATACTTTTGCCATTTCCCGTACAAAAAGGAAAATGTTAATAATAATTTCTTAGGACTGTCATCATTTACTGATTCATAAATTATCTATTAATATTTTAATGTGTTAGACGTAAACTCATAATACGATCTTTCTTTGGCCAAAGATTGAAACATGGTTTAACCCTGATTGGTTCTTTAGAGCTTTCTCAAGGTAGTTTTCATCATGAGCTATGATTAGTATCATAATTAGAATAATAGAATTTATGATCATTAAACATAGGAAATTCATGACATACTTAGTCGATATTTTGGTTCACTAGTTCCCACACTTTGCAAAGCTTTGAATCGATAATGAAGAACTTGAAGAGCACAATAGTTTGATGGAACTACGGCGAGTATCTGATCAAAATTACGATATTGACCCATGGGAACGACAAACTCATCTACATCTGATATTAACATCCATGAATGCAGATAGCCATAGCGATAAATACAATCATTTTGTGACCATACTTGATGAGCAATCCACTCTGAAGGTGTAGCATGGTGTTGAAAGCCATGCCAATGGTCTATATGCCAAGGAATAATAGTGACTAGATTTGAATCAACATAAGGTCGGAGAGTTTTATGTAAATTAGTTTTGTTGAAAGGAGAATGATCATAGATATAGAAATGTCTAATTCCCAATTTGTGGTGATAATCTAGCCATATGGGGAATTCAGCATCGTGATGTGCTGTTTGTGTACATGCGGCAATGAGACTAGAGTTTTTATTCAATTTTGTGCTGGTTAGTATAGACTGAGATGCATTTTCCAAAAAGAGGCGGCTATTAGTAAAACTAAATGATGACGTATACGATCGACAGATAGAAATATTGATCGTGTTGTTATAATCTATGCCTGAAACTAGAAAACATATTACATACGTAGACCATTCAAAAAGTTCTCGAACTGGTTTTATTTAAAAATAATAAGACGCGCTGTTGCATTAGTATTCTTACCTATGCTTAATTTACGCAGTTCTTTATCTATAGACATAATAAGGTCTGCTGCATGAAGCATATATATGAAAACATAGGAATACATTTTAGACCACTATCTATACACTGACAAAAATTTATAAAAATTGATCATGGTCCAATGATAAAATTTCCTGTTCTATGAAGCCATATATCACTGTATCAGTATGAACATGCCGAGATAATTTATGTTGATTGATTCTCCATCAATTACTACAGCTCCTGAATGAAATTGTCATTTGAAGATAGATTATCATGCTTTGATAACAATTTTGGATATAAATAGCATAACTATTAAAGCTGTTGAAAACCTGATGGTCGAAGATGGATATGGGCTGCGAATGTGGATCGTTCACACACATTCACATCCACACCCTGAAAAATAGACATCACACACTTTTTGATAGAGAAGAAAATTTCCTATCAACTGATAAAAAAGTATGCTTGTCAGGATCTATTTATCAAACAGGACATAGCGATCAATATTTTGTGCAATTTTTCTGAATCTCACAAAAAGTTCGGATTCTTTTTACGGATGCCTCTCTCTTCTATGATGTCGTTTCATTTATGAACGCGTTATAAAAAATAAGTTCTGTACAATTCGAAAGAGGAGAAAAAACCCTATCTTCTGGTAAGAAACCATTTCTTCTACCACCCTTCTATCGAAGAGAAATAGGGTTCGACATTTGTCCCATAACTTTTACGTTATACGTTAGTTCCTTCTGATCTGAGTTTTACGAGTGAGTACTTAAAGTTCAACATGTCAGCTGATGACTCATATCGCAGCAGCAATCTTGCAATAACACTTTCTACATAAATAATGTTGTTTTCTGAGAACAGAAAGTACAATTAGCGGACAATTACTGACGCTATTAAGTAACAACTAGCACACTTTCTCTACTTAGCATAATATAGAATACTTTGGGAATTTTGTGCAAGATGTAGCGGAAAGTCTCCTCTCGAATTTTGTTACATTTTTTTAATAAAAAACACTGAAAAATTCTTTGAAGATCGAAAACATTAAAATCTTCGATAACAAATGTAAAAATAATGGAGGAGAAATTTCTTTAACAAAGCATGATCAAAGTCTTTACATAACAACCTCTTCCAAAAAAGTTTTTGAGTTGTCACATAATGGAGAGATGCCAACTAGGTAGGTTCTCTTCTGAAATTGTCATGAGAGTGATTCAAAAACTTATTCTTATCTGAAACTTAAAGACTCAGTTCATTTCTGGAGATTATTCAGCATATGTGGAACTGTACAAAGTCTTTCTCGCTTTTTTTGAGTGACAAGTTCTGTATAAATAGATTGCAAATTCATTTAGTTTCCTGACCATTGATGGAGAGCATAAATTCTGCCAATTACATGATACTTTTGTTCACCTGAATAGTCGATCAGCTCATCACCCACCTAAGAGAGGATCGCCGTTCGAACGATTGGTACTGGTCATTAAAAATCCTGAGTGAATCTAGATATCAATGGCACCACATCCATTCCATATTGTACTCACTCAGCATAAGATTTATTGTCAGCGTGTTCGAGTTCACAGCTTCCTTCGGTATTACACATTCGAGACATAATGTATGTTCGTGTGGATCGAATATGTCTTGACCACCGATTCGCGTTATATTAGTTGATGGTAACATTCTACTCGTACCTAAATAGACAGTATTTCAGTCACAATGTTATAATTACAAAAAGATCTAACTCTATAATCATGCATTATCTCTTCAACTTTTTCCTCTCAATATAGTTAGGGTGTGGAAATAGGTGTCGGTGTACGTGTGTGTAGATGTGGGGATCGTTGGCTAGAAGATCCATACTAGCACGCACACTCACACCTTTAAAATCTGATTTTTTCGTCTGGAGAAAGTATTTTATGTCGATTAAATCTTCTTCTAATTAATTTTATTCGAAAAACAAAATGGTTCAATACACTTTCATCGATTTGAAAAAAGGCGGTTTCAAGCAATTTTTCGGATTTTATTCGGAAAAATCGATTTCAATATATTTCATAAAAGCGAATCTACTTTAACAGATAAAATATAAAACCTACTATCGGAATTTTAAAAGAAGGCACCTGGAAAAAAAGCTTATAACATTCGAACGAAAAGTCATAGCGACCTGCGGTTTTCAGCAATCGATAGAAGATTATAGGGGGCACATTTTTATATAAAAATCAAGGTTTCAATAATCATTGATTATGCAATCACTGAAAGAATAGGCTAATTATTTGATGAAATCTCAGCTGAACAAGCTGAAACTTTCAGCATATATAGCCCTACTGTACCCCAATCGTCGCTGAAAATATCATCGACAAATCTTGTAATGATGAGGAATGGTGAGCCAATCATCATCTGGTCTTACATAAGGCACTAATTCAATGAAAATATTAGGAAATGGCCTCAACTTTTGGCTGAATAAATAGCATAATCTAGACTTCATATCTATGCAATAGCATCGCACTTTCATCGTAAAAATGTACGGAGATAGCCAAAATTCGACGAAGATATGATTTTCATACAGTAAGTATTTTAAAACAAATCTTTCCAACTTTCTTAAGAGAAATGCAGAATTTAGTAATATTTTCACCGTCTCTTCTCGTTCATTTAATTAAACTGTGATATAATTGTATAGATATGAAGTCTAGATTATGCTATTTATTCAGCCAAAAGTTGAGGCCATTTCCTAATATTTTCATTGAATTAGTGCCTTATGTAAGACCAGATGATGATTGACTCACCATTCCTCATCATTACAAGATTTGTCGATGATATTTTCAGCGAAGATTGGGGTACAGTGGGGCTATATATACTGAAAGTTTCAGCTTGTTCAGCTGAGATTTCACCAAATAATTAGCCTATTCTTTCAGTGATTGCATAATCAATGATTATTGAAACCTTGATTTTTATATAAAAATGTGCCCCCGATAATCTTCTATCGATTGCTGAAAACCGCAGGTCGCTATGACTTTTCGTTCGAATGTTATAAGCTTTTTTTCCAGGTGCCTTCTTTTAAAATTCCGATAGTAGTACAATCTATTACATTATGAATCTCTCACTTGCATTTTATGGGAAACAATCGATTTAAGTCCATAGTGACCGAGCCAAAATAAAACTGTAGTGGTCTCAGTCCCCATGTGAAGCTGAAAAGTCAATATTCTCCAGCGTCCTACAGAGATACAAAAGTGGCTGGGATAGAATTAGGATGCTGTTCCTATTCCTGAATTGTTTTTGGCAACTCATGTAAAAAACCAGATTAGAGTCGATTATTTTTGGATTACATATCGATTAAAATGGTACTATTTTAATACTGATTTTAATTAGATTTTCCAGTCTTAAAGACAGATGTCATTTGACTTCAATCTTTTTTAATGTATTTTAAGCAGTTAACAAACTTTAATCGATTGCAGCCGATTATAGAAACCGATTTTAATTTGATTAAAGTTTGTTAACACCCTAAAATAGATTAAAAAAAGATTAAAATCAAATGACATCTATCTTTAAGTCTGAAAAAATCTGATTAAAATTAGATCAAAATAGTGTCATTTTAATCGATTTTTAATCAGAAAAAAAAACGATTAAAATCAGGTTCTCCCTATCTTTTTTTACATGGGATAGGTTTATACGAAAAAATAGTTAAATTAAATGAATTAACTATAAAATTGATTATTTCTGTTCCTGTAAAATAATAGATTTTGATCGATTTTAAAAATAATCCATAAAAATCAATGATATGTTTTAACTGATTACTTCTATTCTTTTAAAGACAATCGCTTAGATTCTTAATAGATTATTACGATTTCTTTGAATAAAATCAATTTCAATAGATTTCTAGTCAGTGAAATCAATTTTTTGCGATTTGTTTTTGAAAATCAATTTGAATCAGATTTTTAGCCTGTTTTTTTAATATGGGGCAGCATCGAAACAAAAACTTCATCTATGTTTTATTTAAAGAAGACTGAACTTGAACTTTGCTTGGTACCGAAATAAGAAAGATTTTGATGTGCATTTCGAGTTTCATAAAAAATCTCTTTTAGAGTATATGTTTGCATCGAGAATCACATTCAATATCATCCGAATAGTGTTTAGTATTTCAAATATCTTGTTCTTGAGAAACTTTACAAAATAAAACATATTTAGTAAATGACTACTAAGAATTTCAATAGAAAAAAAAATCTATTCTGTGCTTACTTTTCGTAGGAAATAACATCTTATTAGGGCACTTACCAGCCGCGAAAAAAATGCATTTGAAAAAACCATCTTTTACAGTTTTCGCATAATAGGCATCCATTAAAAACACCACTTTGCTAAATTCATTCACACCAAAAGCGTTAAACTCAAGATTTAATCCTTTGTACCATGTAGTTGCACACATCATTGGAGACTGAGATAATGTAGACGCATTGCTGTTGCGGAGCAGTGGATTTTGAATTTTAAGTTTTATAGGAAACAAGAAAAAATAAAGTCTAGCTTTGTAATATAATACATAGAGTACAAATAGTATCATAGAGGTAAAAAAGAATATCCTTAAACGCCACTTTTTTGCCACCATTGGGGTTCGCAGTAGATCAATGAACTTATTGTTTGCTAGTTCATCCTATAAAAAAAAAGAAAGTGAGTAAAGGACAAACAGATAGAGAAGATCAAATAATTACGAACGGTTTCATGTCTTTAGCCTAGCTCATCTATCTCTCTTTTATCAAAAGATAATACAGAATCAAGTGAATGAAATAGTATATCACTCGAATCCATTTAGATCCGTGTTTTGAACAAAACCAATCATTCATCACTCCTTTTGAATATTCTATTCCTTCTTAGAAGTCACTGCACGATAGCCGCGGCTGATCATGCTCAATCAGAAACTTTAGATTTGGATGAAAATTATCTCATTTAGTAGAAATAGCTTTTTTAAGAATGTAGCCAAAATTTTAGGCCTAAAGAATTACTTTTATCTGAAATATCGTGTTCTGACTAAAAGCATCCAAAATATGTTTTTATCGATCTGAGACATTTTTTTAAAATCAGTTATGTGAAATGTTTTCATAATATCTCCTCAATAGTACTAGTGAGAATTCTGAAAATTTCACCAGATATTCGTTGTGAGATGGTCTATTCAGCTATACTATCCAGTGAAGTTCATATGGTGACCAAGTATCACCGAACTTTTCACATCACTTCTACTCTCCGTATATATTGGGTTTAACAGTAGTCAATCTTCCTGAGAGACGTTCACTGGATCAGTATGTTAGAATTCACTCGAACTATTTTCATGAAGATAGCAGACTAAGTACTACTTGAACAGGCACTCAAACGTTTCGGGCCTTCAAGTTTCACTCGACAAACGTCATCTCAAAATAACGCTTTTTTTGTATATTATACAGCGAAAGACGATTCTAGATAATTCTGTTTTATGATAAAACAAAGCTTATTTGGGACGATATTTTCAGTAACTGCACAAATCAAAGTTAGTGGTCACTTCTGTAAGTTTCAGTTGGATTGATGAAACTTACACCTTATTTGTGGTGTTCCATCAGATGGGTACCTTTGTGATCTTGAGCAAGAAGAACAATAGGATCAGAATTAGTAATTTTCGAAATCATCTTCGTAGAATTATAAAGTTAATCTAGATACTATTCGATAGAGAATTAAATTTTGAACAAAACTCCGAAAGTAGCTTCAAATAAAATCTCAAAATGATTCAAGAGACTAGAACATATCTTATGGATACACCTATGAAAGTTACATGCATATAATGTGGACGACCGATCAAAACTTCTCGTAGAATTGAAACGAGTTGCTCTACAAAAAAGGGTGTTAATCAAGAGCTACAAAATCACTTAATTGAAGATTTTAAAAAGTGTTGCCCATTGTTATTCGATCCCCACATATTCCGAAAAATATACACAGAACACCTAATAGTGAACATCATGTATTCATCCTCCCAAGGGGGAAAAAGCAGACTTCTGTACTTCTTGGTATTTCTCGGCACTTCTTGGTACTTCTCTGTGCTTTTCAGTATTTCTTAGTACTTTTCAATACTTCTTAGTACTTCTCGGCACCTCTCTGTACTTCTTAGTACTTCTCTGTACTTCTCTGTACTTCTCTGTACTTCTTAGTACTTCTCTGTACTTCTCTGTACTTCTCTGTACTTCTTAGTACTTCTCTGTACTCCTATCTAACTCTGCTCCCATTTATTCCTTTTACCAGTTTTACTTTATATAAATATTCATATTATTCCACCAATTTTTAATGTTTCAATTAAAATAACACTTGAAACATATGAATAACATAAAATCATACAATAAGAAAATAGGAAATAAAACAGAGCGATTAGTATAAATCAGAAATCAATAGTAATAGAATTGTACTGCAGTGCTTTATAAAAACAATCTGGCCATTCTTTTGTGAATCATCTGAGTCATATTAATCATTACTTAGTAATATTATGTATAGTAAAGAAGAAGAGCGTACTTACCGTAACTTCGAGAAGAAAATAACTATACGAATAAATAGAAGTTGATTTTACTAAAAATTAAAGACGAAAAACAGAGTAAGAATGTCGGCATGCATATGATTGTAGACACGATGTAGGAACATTCACATCCCCAGCCTCCCACAAATTTGCGATGACAATGAACCATGTAGATGAGCTTCTTATTTTAAAGTGAAAGAACAGGGGCGCATAAAGAATGTGATTTGCCCTATAGCACTTTTCAGACTGAACTCATCACAGTCATATATAGGATGCAAGAACTTTTCACGGCGACTACTTCGATACCCGATTCGAGCTATCCTTCTGGTGTATCTGAGAATTGTCGCAAACATACATTTCCTGGCGAGAACCCGTACATACTGCACCGATGCTTTTTGCTGTAAAGTTTTACATCTGTTCCCTAGACTGAAAGGCTAGGGTCTAGAAACCATAATTCACGTGTGTCTGTATGTCCGTCTGTTTGTCTGTAACAAGAACTTGGCACAAATGACCATTTCTATGGCACAAATGGTCATTTTTATGGCACAAATGACCATTTCTAAGGCACAAATGACCATTTCTACGGTACAAATGACCATTTCTATGGCACAACTGACCATTTCTGTGGCATAAATGACCATTTTTATGGCACAAATCACTATTTTTGTGGCACAAATGACCATTTTTATGGCACAAATGACCGTTTCCATGGTACAAACCACCATTTTTATGGCACAAATGACCATTTTTATGGCACAAATGACCATTTCCATGGCACAAATGACCATTTCTATGGCACAAATGACCATTATTATGGCACAAATGACCATTTTTATGCCGCAAGTGACCATTCCCATGGTACAAATGACCATTTCCATGGCACAAATGACCATTTCTATGGCACAAATCATCTTTATTATGGCGCAAATCACCATTTTTATGGCACAAATGGCCATATTCGTGGTGCAAGTGATCGTTGTGATAGTTCAAAGTACCATAATCGTGGTACAAGTAACTGTTGCTATAGTGCAAAGTATCGTGAGTGGTGGTAAAACTGACCATTTATTTTGGCATAATTGACCATTCTTGTGGCTTAACTCAGTTTCTACGATGCAATCAGCCATTTGTATGGCACAGTTGATCATTCTTATCTGCGGAAGGAGCGTGTCTGTGTCACTCCTAGCTAGATCAGTATTAGAAATGATCAGTGCTATGGGATAAATAACCATTGCTAGTCCTTAGAATCAACTAACTCATACGCTTTATCATATACATTGGCATCTTGCAATATTTTATGTCAACTGTTTGAATATATCTTTAGTATGTAATACAGAACATTTTGCAAATATCAATGATCTGTCCTAAACTCATCACTGAACAGAATTCATTTTTATTAAACAACATAAGGACATCTGTGACATCATTCTGTCAGTCTAGGGCCCGGTGAATCGACTTTCAATGTCGATGAACCTTACTTGTCCTTTAGCCTTGATTGGGTAATAGAAAATCAGCCAGTTCGCATTATATATAGAAAGACCTTATAGCCTTATACTCTCGTACTCTTACACCCTTGTAGCTTTATACTATTGTGATAGTACCTCTTATAGTCTTATTCCGTTATTCTCCTATCGCTTATATCCCATGCAGCCTTATCTACTTATACTCTGTACCCCTATTTTCTTTTTAGTCTTATCTCTTATACCCCTATAGCCTTAGCCTCTTATCTCCTTTACCTTTATATCCTTATCCCCTTATCACTTACTTCCTTATAGCCTTATGGCCCTTGTAGACCTATGGATCCCTCTATGCGGCATTGCACGTAACCCACGACCAACCTTGCGCAATCGATCTCACCGATTTGGCTGATACTTTCACAGTAGGTAGGCCTAACATATTTAGGAAGAAACCCAAAATTTCAGCTCAAATAGATAAGCCAGTCTGGAGATATAGTGGACACAACTATTGGGGGGGTAGGTCATTTTTGGTGCATTTTGTAGTGCAATGCTTTGCAGTAGATTTGCATTGTCTCAACAACGATAAGAGCTATAACAGAGATTTTTTTATCATAGATACCATCGATTATGGGCTACCTTTTGATGGGATTGAAAATACCTTTTCATTGGATTTTTTTCGATCGGCATTCTATACCATTTTCAGAAACTGTTTGTACGTATGTATAAGGACTTAGTCATATCAGCGCGGTAGAATAGTTTGAAAATAGTCTCACTTGAAAGAGCACATCAAACTGTGTCGAATAGCGTTTTCAAAAGTTTGTAGAAATGAACTTTGGTAGCAAAAATTTTCTGAACAAGACTATGAAGAC